ACTTTTTTGGAGTAGCAAGTAGCAGGGAATTTTGAAAATTTTCAAATACTCCATTTGAGTAAGCAGGTTTCTTTCTACTTACTCAAAATCGGAGTCAAATTTGTCAAATATTTAATTAAAGTACTCCATTTTACTATTTTATCTGAACAATTTTTATAAAACAACAAAAAAATTGATTAAATTAAACGAGTCGACTTGAAGAATAACGACTCCCAACATATTGTCAGATTTGCATTAGAATAGTCATGCCTAACGTGTCCTACGGTATTTTTTGTGTATTTTCTCTCTAATGTTAAAAATAAAAACTTTCCGTTCAAAAATGTCATTTATTAGATAGAAGTAATTACTTTATTCAATCCAAATTGAAACAGTTGTTGTAATGATCAGACAGTATATGAGTGGCATCATAGACAGAACATATTTAATTACCGAAAACATTGTAGCACACAAATCAAATATTGTATATGTACTGATTAATATCATTGAGAGCGCCTCCAATTGTTTTACATAATTATTTTTCAAAATTTACCTCATTTATTGGATTTTCTGTTCAAATTCTAATTGAAATGGATAATTACGTTCATTTTTTCACTCATGGCTGAACTTATGATTTAGTACAAAATAAACATTTTTAAAAAGAATTCTCTCACTTTTTTGATAATTTCACGAAATTACTTCCATCGAAGGTGATTAAAATTCAGAGAAAATTATTTTTTAGTGGCTATATATAAAATATGAAACATTTGTTCATTTTTATCAGTTGTGCTCTTGTGTTACACAAAAGAGAACATAGTTCTCGTCCAATACGAATCCAAGTTATTTAACATTCCCAAAATAATGGCATTGTTTGCGTCAAATAAAAAATTCTTTCAAATAATCGGCATCAAACCATTGCCAGCCGAATATTTTCCATCGTATTTGCAAAGTGTTCGAATAATTTTCAACTATCTTCATATGATATTTGCAATTGCTTCATTTGTGACCTATGCCATTTCGATATTATCATTTATATTATTCAAAGCAAACATGTTCACGGAATTTTCTGAAGCGGTAATGTTCTTTCTGGTCGCTCTGTTGCATATTTCATTTTATACCATTTCCGTGATGAAAAGAGAGAGAATATTTGGTTTTATGGATGGACTGGAGGCGGTTATTCAAATGAGTAAGAAACATACCTCTAGTTTTCCTCAAAAATAATAATGTGAAACCTTGTTATAGGGAGTAAAAAACCAAAAACTTGTGAAATTTATAGCAAAGCTTATGAGAGATGTGAGAGATTTGCAAATTATTTGTGGTTCTCGATGTTGGTATCGGCTGAGTTATTCATTTTTCCAAGCGCCTTTGTTTCATACTACAAATACTTTGTGTTGGACTATGCAGACCGATCCTTTCAACTGATATTCCCAGCGGCGTACGAACTTTATATGACGAAATCTTTCTCGTCTTTTTTTTCACCATCGTGTCGGATTTTACCATTCTTTCATTTGTAGATTTCCTTGGGACTGGAAAACACCGATCGGTTTTTTCAGTGCATTTTGTTTGCAATGCTATTGGATCCATTGTGTCATCACAATGATCATCGGAACTATATCACTTTTCTCCAAATTTTTCAACATACTCGGAGCTATAGCCGCTGATATCGTTGAAACTTTTGATGAATTTACACAAGATTTCGACAAATGTCGTCATGAACTCACTGAAAGACACATTCAACTGAAAAAACGACTCGTTGACATCATCAAATTTCATATTGTTAGCAGAACGTAAGTAGCACTTGCTTTCATTGATTTTTTTTTTGAAAGAATATCGTTTTCCGTTGTTTGTTTAGATTAATCGAGCACTTTTTAGAGTGTTATAGCACTATTTTGACAGCCTACTTTGGACTGTTGCTAATAATTTACTGTACTACTCTCTTGGGAACGAATGCGGTAAATCTTCAGCTAAAAGACATTTTGAATCCAAAAGCCTATTCGTGGCCTCGGGATTTTAGACCAACGACTTTAGATAAACTAATTTCGCCCAAACAACCATACTTTATATGACGAAATCTCTCTCTTCTCAGAAAAAAATCGCGTATTTTATCAAAGGGAGCCGAATTAAGTGCCGTAGTATGATATTTTCATATGGAGCCGTGGCCACGAATTGGAATTTTCCACAATTCTTTTTAGCTATTTAATTGTTTTTCAAAATAATTTTGTTCCACAGGCACTTTATGTTGGCATTGTTGAATTTATTCGTTTGATCATCTGTTTGATAATAGCGATGACTTTCATTTCGGTATTTTGTATGTTTGGCAATGAGACGACCACAATGTTTGAAAAAGTGTACAAATCGATTTGTCAATGTTCTTGGAATGAGTTTCCAATTGAAATGCAAAAACTTTTGCTGATGATGCTGATGATTGCCGAAAACCCGGTTTATTTAAAGGGATACATGTCGGTGAAGTGCACTCGTGAATTCATGAAGACGGTAAGGAACAAACGATTTTCTATCATAAATACTGTACACCAGTAGTGTGCGAGGGAAATTTTTCAGGGGGGGGGGGTGATTTTCAAAAACAAAAAATTCTCTAGCAAATCACACAAATTTTCATTTTTTTTTTTTGAAGTCACTTTTTGAGGCGAAAATCCCTAGCCTAGGAAAAAAATCTCTCGGAACCAAAAACCCTAGAAAATTTAAAGAATTCTCCTCAATTTTCTACATTGATGAGCTAAAAAAAAGGTGTTCACTTTTTGAATCAAAAACCCTAGCAAATTCGAATAAATTTCGCGAAAAAAAATTCTCATACAAAACCCCCCCCTCCCTCCGCACACTACTGCTGTACACTGCAAGGTCGTCAAACACTTTTGGCACGTAACTAACGATAAGCGTTGCGATGGCAAATAATTTATATGGAAGGTTCTATTTTGGGTCTTCAATTCATTCTTACTATAGTATAAACCACACAAAACACATTTGACACTAAGAAAAAACAATTTTTTATTTCCAAATATTTCAGATAACAAACAGCGGATTTTCATATTTCATGATGTTACGTCAATTCAATCGATAGATTTCAGACAATATATTGAACTATAGGCGTTATTGTTTTAATGATGAATCACTTTTCTTGTTTTAATTGTAGTCATTGTTCATTATAACAATAGCTTCTATTGTTTTGGCCCATTTAGCTGGCTAACGTACTGTCAGCTCAACTGACCAGTTAGTTCATAATATTGTCTGATAGATTTTGAAAAAACAACAACAATAATTTGTTCCGAAAAAATTTGAAACTAAAATAATTCAAACCATCGCCTTTCTGTGCTGAGAACAAACACATGGTGTAACAATATATATGTGCGCTTCAATTAAAAAGACATTAAATTCGGAATCCATTACAAAATAATTGCTCCAGTTTTTGAATAAAATACTCATTATGCACTGATATTTCGAATTTTATTTGAAAATATTAATGATGGTCAAAGTCATCGTTGGAGACGGCGTCCAAGTTCTGTTTATGATTTTTCACCGTCGATAAATAAATAATGTATATTCAAATGCAGCCCTCCAAACCTCTTGCCAGTTGAATATCTTAAATCTGTTCAATCCGGTTATCCGATATCGATCCATAGATGCGAAATATACCATAAACATTTCTTGGATCGTTGTTGTATGGCTTTTTTGTAAAATTGATATCAAGGCGATACCGACCTATTAAATTATTAGAAAATTTGCAAACAAAGAGTGAAAAGTAAAAAAATTGGTATTATTACCTGCTGGTAAAAGGGGTTCGATTATAAAACGATCAATAGACACATTGTCAACCTTCAAAAAAAACCGATCGTAGTACGGACATGAATGATTTAAATTTGTGTACTGTAATACACGTCCCAGTATCCATTCCATAAAGTAAGAACGAGCCGTTTTTCCTAAAAAACCACATAAGTCTTCCCACAGATCAATCGCGTACTTTTGATACCTTGTGTATCTGTAATACAATACACCGTGCGCCCAGGTGCTTTTCAGCGGTTCTTTGAACGTATTTTCAAGATGAATTTTTACATTTCGACGACTGATACGCTTCATCACGCAATGGTTCCAGGTCACTCCACTCTCCGGGCTTTGTACACATTCAATGCGCTCGAATTGAAAAGTGTTTTTCTAGAAATGTTGAAAAACATTTGAAACTTTTTTTTTTCGATAAATCCGAAAAAACTGAAATATTTTGAATTATTGTTGTATTTTTTTGAGAGTTGTCGAAATATTTCCAATTTTTTTTCACAGAATAAAAATACTTACAGTACATAAAACCACATTAAAACACAAAATAGATAAAAACACCGAATATATCATCCTACTACTAGACTTCATGTTGTGCTTATGTTCCGAAATACAACCAGAATCACAAATTAATGAAAGTAGTAAACAACAGTAGCTCTTGACGGTCGATTCACGCCTTAATTGTATGTGTGATTAGATACATTTGACTAGCGATGTTGGTAAGGCTGAATACTTAATTGGATTTTATTTCATGGTGATTCACATATTGTTTAGATGAACAATCGCAGATAGAACCTTCGTTCGAAATTTAAAAAAAAACAATTCTTCGTTTGAATTTGGTATTTCAATTGGTATTTGTTTGAATTTGGGCAAATAGCTTGGGCGCATTATTATGGGTTTGATTTGAATCAAAAATTCCGCCGAGGAAGTGCGGATTTATTTTATTATTCGCGAATATCTTTTATTTTCTATTTAGTCGACATTTTAAACAGTAGCAATACCCAACTACACACATGGAACAATATTTCTATTTGGACAACCTTGGATCGAAATGTCACGGAGAAGAGTTTTATCAAAAGATACACACCGACACATACAAATTGGAATAGCTAGTTTTGCAATTCACATCACCTCCATTAACCAGCGCCTCTGCATGGTACAAGTCACACGCACACAAACATAGATCATATTGTTGCGCAAGCATGTGATGCCGTCTAATATATTTCTTTTATTCGTTGGCAGTGACTGAGAAAGGTACTCTTCTCCTGTGAAAAAATATTTACAGTGAATGAAAGCAACAAATTTCGCATTTTCAGGATAATTAATTTTTTTTCGGAAAAATATCAAACAATCAACATCAAAACAAGTGTAGAGAAAACTGTAAGTCTCCGGAATTTTTTCAAATCCCCTTTCGTTGTGCGTTATATTTTATGGTCGCCATTTTAGTTTTTTTTTAAATTGAACATTTACATGTTGCGCTCATAGACATGATAATAGTTTTTCTTTGCATCAGAACTTTTCTCTAATCAAGTTTGTAATAACATTTTTTTCGTTTTGCTCAATTCAGTGGAAATATTAGTAATACCACATCGATTGTCATCAAGCAGAAAAATCGTGAAATGGAATCGACCGAAAGCAATAGCGGTCAGTGTGGTGACCAAGTCGACGTGAAGCCAAAGCTTGAAATCAAAGAGGAACCAGATGATGGCATTGTAGTCGTGATTTCATCTTTATCTCGACACAACGATTCGATGGTGCCTGAGGATCGAAATGAAGTCTACGATTTCTCGAGCTTGGATTTGGTGAAGGAAGAAATTGATACGAAGGATGAAATCAAATCGATGGCGAAAGAAGGTGCAGCGAATGAACAATGTCCAGGAAGCTGCGGTAAGGCACCAAGCAACAAAGATCTCCAAATCGATTCGGCTTCAAAGCCAACGAAAGGATTGAAGAACAAAAAGCGACAAGGCCATGTTGCACAAAAAACATCCAAACAACACAAGTGCGAAACTTGTGGCTTTGTCGCCAAATACAAATCAAAATTGACCACACATTTACGTAAGCATACCGGCGAGAAGCCATATGGCTGCGATCACTGTGACAAACGATTCCAGACAAAACAACATCTTCAAAGCCACATGAAAGTTCATGTAGCGGAATTTTTATTCCATTGTCACGGCTGTTTGAAAGGATTCGACGCAGAAGACGAGAAGAAGGAGCATGACAAGGATTGTAAAATAAAGCGGTACGAATGCCACATCTGCGAAGAATCATTTGGATCCATGAAAGCAAATTTGACAAGACATATGACGGTGCATAGTGGCGCAAAGCCATTTGAATGCAAAGAATGTTTCAAAACATTCACCCGAAAAGGCTCTCTCCGTCAACATATGAAGTGTCACGCTGGTTCACGCGCACTCCATTGTTCACGTTGTCGCCGAGCATTCTTCCATGAAAATAAACGAAATGCTCATGAAATCAAATGCAATCGGAAGGTGTACGAGTGTTACATTTGTAGCAAATTACATAATTATCGAATAATTGTAAATTTTCCTGTCATTTGGAGTCAGCATTTCTTTCCTATGAAAACTAACAATGAAGAATAATAAACTTGAACTTATTGAATTATTTATTTTGTTTTTTTTTTTCGTTTTATGTATTTTATAAATACTAAGTCGAACATTGCACTATTATGGCCAAAGATCTGGCTGTTCAAAATGTCGTGAACTCAATGGAATTTCTAATGGTCATGCAATCGACATCATCAATTTGTAGTCGATGGGTAAGAAGGCCCATGTCTTCGTCTTGTTTGAATTTCGTTTGGAATAAATGACGTTGAGTTTCAATCGACTGAAAAAACACAAAAAAATTGATTTCCTTTAAATTGCCCAAATCACCACAGAAAATGAACATTTGTGCTTACTTTCTTAATCATATGTTGCAAATGATGTATGGTCTCTTGAAGTGTATGCAGTTCATTGACCAGTGTTTCATGGACTCGATCTTTGCAAAGCTCTGTGCCGGGACGTAGTGCCCGATTTTCCAGTCGATTCTTACACAATACTAAAAACTTCTCTTTTGCTTCCAACTCGGTTTGTAAATTAATCAAATTTTTCTTGATATCGTTGATTTTCAGTTGGGTTTGATTCTGTTGCTCTTCCAATGCGCACTTGGAATACGTTGTGTCACCGATTCGCTTGCAAAACTGTTCGGTGGTGCGATTTACTTGCTTCGATATATCTTCGAATGTTCGGCTCAACGAAATCTCGGTGAAGGAACGTAATTGCTTCGATGACGCTACTTCATTGGACGAATTTTGTAAAAGGGTATGGGTTAAATGCTCCCATTCATCTTGGGTTGTGACTCTACGAGAAAATTTCAGTTAATTCCACGGTAAAAGTTAAAAATAATTGAAAATCGAAAATCTGTAATAGAAATAAATGATTTAGAACTCACACTGGATCGGACTGCATTCGTTTCTCCAAATCAAAGTCCATTGCTGTGAATTTTGTTCGCAAATCCAAATTATTCCTGTCAATTTCCAGCGACGTACTTTTCCGCATCAATTCACTGTCCAGCGCATGGATGACCGTTCGTAAAAGTCTCGACTTTTCAATCAGTCGCATCAAAACTGTGTCTAATTTCTCGTAGCTCGCTTGCAGAGCAGCTCTTTCATATGTTAACTCTCGCAACACATGATCGTTATTTTTTGGAACTTTGTGACAATCTTCACTCAAAATTGTATACTGTTTTTGATTTTTCTCCAGAATATCACGGATGAATTTGATGGCATTGATTAATCGCTTGCAGTATGATTTTACCATTTCTTCTTCGATCGTTACTTCCTTTTTCTTGCAAGAAATCTCTTCGGTCAAAAATTGGATATTTTTTAAACGCTCCTTTAGACGATACTCGGTTTCTTTTTTACATTGATCGGTTTTTGCACGTGTTGTATCAATTACAAGCTCACTTTGCCTTATAACGAAAAGAACAGCATTAGACAAATCCAAAACAATGTGTATGGTTTGTGGTGAAGAATTTTTGGATATTTGTAATAAAAAAACGTAAGAATTTCTTTTTCATACCAAAATACATAATATCACCAAGTTTAAAGAAATTGCAATGAAAATTAAGGGTACCTCCCATACAAAATTGCCTTAAAAGCGGAAATTTTGAATAGGAGGTACCCCTAATTTTGTTTCAAATTTATTAAAACTTTCAGAATGTTATTTTTTATGGAAAAATAACCTGTGCAAAATTTCACGTCATTACGGATTCATATGGACATGGCTCCCATAGAAAAATCAATTTTTTTTGTGAAAAGTGTGTTGAACGTTTGTCGTATCGCAAAACTAACGTCAGTATCGTACCAAAATATCTCCACAACACATTTTTACAATTAAATTTAAAATTGCTCAAAATTCGATTATAATCGAAAAAACTTCTTGAAATAAATTTATTTCAACTTCCATACTCACTTAATAACTTGATCCGTCAACATTTGCGGATTTTCAGTGTGAACACACTTTTCACCAAACATTTTCACGTTCTTCTTCTAACGGTACAAATTTCGAAATTTATCTAACAAAAATGTCAAGAAACTGTTTAAAATGTGCTTCTCTTCCTGATGTAAGTGAATTCTATACATTCACTTTGGGAATAATGACGGATTTTGCAGAATGGCAATGTTGTTTTGATGGGCAGTCAATGTTTGAATTATAGTTTTTTAATTAAATTTCAAGTCGAACAATTTATTATGAATATTTGATGTTTTTGAACCAAAAAATCTTCAGATTTTCGCACTATGTATGCTTTTTCAATATCTGGACCCTGTATTAAACTCGGTGTTTATTTAAACTCCGTTGAACCAATGTATCTACTCAAGTTATTTAATTGAATTTCGAAAAAAGTCTGTCTTCATCGCCACTTGACAAACTTGTCTCTAGCACATTTTCCAACCGTCGTCTATATAACTGAAATGAGTTTTTTTGGTAACACACCGTCAGCATTCACTGTGAGTATACAATCGGTTGATGTAGCTATGGATATGTTGAATCAATAATGCGCGACAATCGTGATTGAATACGAAAAAAATCGATAAAAATGCTTTTTATTTCAAATAATAATTTTTTTCCATCTAATGTGCTTCGTAATAATAAATTTCAAGCACAATCAGAATGAAACAACTATGTTATCATTAAAATTAATTAAGTAATTAAAAAAAGTAGACATTTGACTAGTTTTCAATAAGTTCTTTTCATTTCAATTGGTGCGAGGTATATCTTCCATCGAACATTTATTGACGGCGACTGCTTGGTAATACACGTTTCTTTGCAAGTGTCATTGCACTCGATCTCACCTCAGTAACTGGTTCGCATGCGGTTGATCCACCGTGTGTACGCAGATATTCAACGATACTTGTGTGACCTGAAACCAATACGATATTATTGTACATATGAGTCGATGAAGCAAAAAATAATCAGACAAATTACCCATTTTTTGTGCTTTGCAGAATCTTTTTTGCGAAAAAAGAAAATTAAAAGAATTTGAAGAATTTAAAAAAAGAAGTTCACATTACAGTTACTTACGGTGTCAAATTGGCTTTATTCTTGATATTTACATTGGATGTTGGCAACAAAATTTCCACGGCTTTCAAGTGACCTGAAACAAAAATCAAATGGTCAATCGCGTGTGCAAAGAAGCGAAAATTTTGTTAATTGCCTCTGTCAATTGCGCATAAAATTGCCGTATTGCCGTGCTTATTTTGAAGATTCACATTTGCATTATTCCGAATGAGAAATTCAACAGTTTTGCTTTGACCTATCCAAAACGGAATTTTTGTTTAAAAAAAAGTCTCTTCAATTCGATTCCAATTACTAACCAACAAGCGCAGCGACCATGAGCGGAGTCCATCTATCGTCGTCTAAGGCATCAATATCAGCTCCAGAGTGAAGAAGGAGTTCAGCTATTTTATCTTGACCACTGATAGCGGCCACGTGGAGGCTAGCGAAAAAGGAGTGGCGAAAAAAAGTTTTTTTTTTATTTCGAATTAAGGAATTTCAAGGACTAAAAACTAATATTAAGTAGTTACTTACGGCGTGTATTGTTTATTATTTTTGATATTTACATTGGCATTCGAATTGATTAAAACACGAGCAACTTTGTCTTGACCTGTGTGAAAAAAGTATGAAATCGTTAATTCAATGGACACATTGGTAACTTTATTACGGAGGAAGTTTAAAAATGACCGTAATGTGCGCATATGGCCAGAGGACTATTTCCCTCTTTATTTTTTGCATCCACAGTGGCATGGTGGGCTATGAGGAGTTCAGCGATTTTTTCACCACCTACCAAGAAAACAGAAAGAAATCAGATGTTATTTTGGCTGTCATGGCACCAATACTTTCTAAGAAGAAACATGTTTTTATAAAACATCAACGAGCACCGCAGACTGTCTGACTGAATGCTTCAAATAAATCTTAAAAAATGTGATTTCACCAGTTTGAGCAACCAAATGGAGTGGTGTCCACTCTTCCTTTTCTTTGCTATTCACATCCGTTCCATTGCGAATCAGAAGTTCGGCGACCTTTTCTTTTCCAAGAGCAACAGACGTTTGTATCGCTGTACATAACGGTGTACATCCGTTTGAATTTTTCAAATTAATATTTGCCCCAGCTTGAATAAGAATTTGGGCAATTTGATCGAGGTCTTCTTGAGCCGCACCATGTAGGCTTAGTGGCGGAAAAAAGTTTTTTTTTTATTTCGAATGAAAGAATTTCAAGGACTAAAAACTAATATTAAGTAGTTACTTACGGCGACATTAAATTTTCGTCCTGAGCATTCACATTCACGCCGTTTGCAATTAAAATTTCCACCAATTTCTTTTGATCTAAAAAACAAATCAAGTTAGATGAAAGACGATATAATTTTGTAATTGGAACTCACTGAACAAAACGGCCATATGTAACGGTGATTGCTTTTTAACATTCTGGCTATTCACGTTGGCTCTGTGCTTGATCAACATCTCAGCAACTTTTTCTTTACCTAATCGATATATTTTCATGTTAATTTGCTTTTTATAGCAAGAGAGAGAGAGATAGAGAGGCAAGAAATAAGAAGTGGAGATCTGAAGTAAAAAAATTACCATATCTTGCTGCCAATGAGAGTCTAGTCACGAGTCACGAAATAAAATGTTTAGAAAAATGAAAAAGAAGATCGTCATAATATTTACTTACGGTGTGTCTCCATCTATATTTTTTGGGTCAACCGTAGCACCACTTTGAATCAGTTTCTCAGTAATACGTTCACTACCTACAAACATGAGTTTAATGATTAAACTTTAATCGAAGGTGATAAAATGCACAATTTTTTAAAAGAAGAAAAAAAATCCAAGATCTCGAAAAAAACCCTGGAAATGAGTCTGTTATAGGAGAAATGTGGGCACTTTTCTTGTAAGTGCTGCTAATTCTTGACTGCGACACTTCAAAATTCTTGAATTCTTGCATTCTTGCGATACTTCAATTTTTTTTACAAGAAGTCTCTTCTCCGGGTGCCAACAGCTCTGTTCTAAAGATAATAAAGTATGATGAGATTGAAAAGGAACAGGATACATTACTTGTATTTTGTGCTGCGAAATGAAGAACCTTCCATTGACCGTTTGCATCGGAATTGATGTTAGAACCAGCAAGAAGTAAATCAACGACTTTTTCATTATCTAAAATTGAGTTCATATGTTTAGCATTTGGACATTTTTTTCAATTTTTTAAATTTAAACTTGCCAAATTCAACAGCCACTTGCAGCGGAATCATGCCAAGTTTATTTTTAATATTTACATTGGCGTTATAGTTAACCAATACTTGAGCTACTTTGTCGGTACCTATATCATTCAATGATTTTCATTTAAAAGCTGTGCTTTTACAAAATTGAGTTAATGCTTGTTTTTGGATACCAAACCTTTCTCTGCAGAAATATGAAGACTTGATGACTCTTTCTTATTTGTCTTCTTATCAATATTGGCGCCATTCAAAATCAGAAATTCGGCAATAGTTTTGCACCCTTTGCTAGCCGCCACATGTAAAGCTGTGTAGCCTTCGTCGTCTTCGGCATTCACAAATACGGCCGCATTCTGTATCAAATACTCAACAATTGCTTCTTGGCCTAAATATGCTCAAACACAAAAAAATCATTAAACAAAAATAACTCCTCTTCGGTGTTCATTGTAGAATGTGGTCATAAACACTTACATTCATTGGTCGCTCTATGAAGTGCCGTCGCCATATGTATATCGGTAGCATTCACATTTGCTCCATTTCGAATGAGATTCGTGATTATTTCCAAGTTACCTAAATCGAAGTTTTGAATCGAATCAAAATAGTTTCGTCAGAAAAAATTGAATGCTATGCCAAACCTGTTTTTGAAGCCACCAAGAGTCTTTAGTTTCGTGAAGTCACGAAAAAATGCTATAATTTTGAGAATTAATAAGAAAAAGAATATAATAAATGGTTACTTACGGTGTTTCACCGTCATCATATTTAAAATTGACATCGGCACCGTTTCGAATGTTCTTTGCAACATCAGACACTTTAACTAGACAGCAAATATTTTCCAGATCACGATCATTGCAACCATTTTTCATTGTGAAATGTTATTTTTAACTTACCCGCTTCGATTGATTGACGCAATTGAGTTTCTTTACTGTGATTTTGCAATAAAAATTGATTAATTTCAATTGGATTTATTCTTGTTGTTTGTATACTTACACAAACTTGGGAGGCGGTTCCTCTGAAACTGAAAAGAATTTTAATTGATCAATTTCATTCGTTTGTAAAAATAACATTCATTGAGAATATTTTTGATTACCTGGAACTACGCCAGCGAAAGCAGCTGCCAGGCACAGCGCAAATATGACGAGAAATTTCATGTTTTCTCTTTCCACCCAAAACAATCGGCAATGTGGTGAGAAGGTCTGAAATATAAGCAAATTCATGAGTTAAAATAAGAACATTTTCAAAAAAAGGGTTTTTAGTAGAGGAAACCGGACACTTGAATTTAAATTCAATTTTTAGTTTTAAACTTTGCCAAAAACGTTGAAACTTACAAAGAAAATGTTTAAATTTAAACGAATAGCACTGAACGACGTCAAAAGTTATACTGAGCAGACACTCAACAATATTCATAATATCTTTTGATCACAATCATATGGACATGCGCGCGCATTTGTTTTCGACTATCGAATTGGCTATTTTTAGACACAGTTCGCTCAATTTGAGCAATGTTTTTGTTTATCGTACGCTCCCATTCGCTCTTTCACTTGAATTTTCCATTTCATTTTAATCATATGATTGAATAAGGTAGACGAATATTTAGCATCATGTTTTTATTTACTGAAATACTGCCAAGAGTTTTTCTAGGAAAATATACGAATTTGTTCAAATTAAACCAAGGTTAAAAGTGTTCTTGAAGTGGTTTATAGGCGTGTTCGCGCGTGTATTTCATAATACAAGCCAGAGTGTTGATGATTGGAGTTTTCCATGGAAAATGAAAAATTAAAATTATTCTTATAATTTTCTTATCAATGATCCTTATTTGAAAGAAATTGGTGAAAATGAAATAATTTTAAATTACAATTTCAAGTGTCGGAGGTCGACTCCACATCTCAAAAAAGTGTTTAATATATACCTGCTTATAACCGCTATTTCACTTCGAAAAGTGTTTCGTCTGTTCTTAGGTCGAATATTTCTATTTCACTTTGATGGAAGAACCGATATTTAAACGATGTTTACGTTGTTG